TAGCATCAGTCGCTTCCTTTTTTTAAAATTGCTTCCTTAAAATCCCTCTGCACTTGGCTGTGTTGGACTCTGGTACCTGCCATCCTTTGATTAGATTAACGTTGTCTACACTTGTGTCTCATCCCTGGGTTGTGCATCCTGTAGGTCAGAGACCGTATCTTGTTGATCTTTCCTTGTCCCACTGCCCCTGGTATGGGGTTCTGGTGATGGGATGTGCTCTGTTATTTGGGAGTAATTCTTCACCTGGCATAGAAGCATAGATTCTAAATCATCCAGTTGGTGTTATTGGTCACCCGAGGCAGTGTGTGGGTGAGAATGAATGCTTCCTGCTTTTTTTTTGTTAAAATACCTTTTCTTCTTTCATATGTATATTTTCAAATGTGTAATTCTTTGAATAATGATAAATTGTATCAACTGATAAATAAGCTAGCTTCCTTGTAGGGAGTTTTTTCCTTACAGCTTATGCAAAGTGTCACAGTTTATGAATAATTAAAATCCAAAGACCCGACTGTATGGAGGATGGTCTGAAAGATTAAAAGGGGGTGTGCAGACCACAAGGAGATTCTACCAGAATTACGGGAATTGGAGGCTCACTCATTGGGAGCGAGGAACCAAAATGGGGATAAATATGAGGAATAGACAGTTTCTTCACAGATTTTTTTTGTGGTACTAGTGTTATACCCAGGGAGCTCTGTGACTGAGATACATCCCCATTTTTTGTTTTGAGACAGAGTCTCACTAAGTTGCCCAAGTGGGTCTTGAATTTGTGTTCCCCACCTCAAGTGCTGTGATTACAAGTTGTTCACCTCTGCACCTAGCTCATGGATTAGTTTTACATGTCTCGATTCTGCCAAATACATTCACATAACTTTATGTGTTCATAAAGGCACCCTTAATTTACTCCATGTGCAGTCAACCCAAGGAGCCATTGTATCAAGGATGTCTGTAGGCCCTGAATCAAACTTTCAAATACAGTACTTAGTACTTGTCTTTCCCTCTTTATTGAATTTGGATGCTTTTCAAATAATGCATAAATAACATTAGAAACAGAGTCAACTCATAAGAGTTCATTTTTCTTTATTTTGGAAATCTCTGTGCGTGGCAAAGATGCTAGCTTTGTGCTTTTTACTTAGACTTCCCACCCTCTTTCACTCTTCCAACTTATGTTCCTAAGTGAGCACTGTACGTAAAGCCCAGGGCTAGTCAGGAACCAACTTCTCTCATATTGTTAGATTTGTACAGTCAGCTGAATTTTTGAATGATCTCTTTCCTGATGTAGGAGAAATGTAAGAACTTTGAAGTCAGCTTATCAAATGGATGTATCTCTCAGTCTACACGGGTTTTTATTTCACTTACCTTTTTGGTTTACTCCTTTCGTTCTCTCTCTTTCCTCCTTGCATTAATCCTTTCAGCAGCTATCCCTGCTGAAACCATGGAGATATCTCTTCTCTCACTTAAATGGAACCCGTGTCACCTTTTGCCTAGTCTCTTGCACTAGCAAAAGATCTCAACCCACAGTACCTCATAAAATCGAGGGTGGCCACTTTCTTACGTTCCTTCACCTGATGAAATTAATGTGCTTTAGCACTGCATTCAATAGCATTCTTGTCTGATTGAGGAAGTAACCATGCCTCCTGCCCTGCTGGTTCACAGTGTGGAGGTCAGGATGTGTATTTCTTTGGTCTTTGTCTTTGACTTGCCCATCTGACTCTCCTCCCATGTTCTTGACCTCACTCCTTGCAGTGTTTCTTTCCTACTCTTGGTGCTATCATCTTTGACCTGGTATGAGGGCCTTCTTCCAGATTGCTACCCTTACTTGAAGGTTGGTGCCTTCATCAGCTCAGGCTGCTGTAACGAAGTGCTATAGACCTTGTGACTTAGATAACAGAAATGAATTCTCACTCATAGTTCTGAAGGCTGGAAGGCCAGGCTCAGGGTTTCTCTTGAGGCCTCTCTTCTTGCCTTTTATATGGCTCCTCCTTATGGCATCCCCAAGTGGTCTTACCATTTCTGTGTCTTTGCTCCAATTTCCTCTTCTCATAAGGGCAGTCAGATTGGATTAGAACCCAGGATAAACAGACTCCTTTTTAACTTCATCTCCTCCTTCATGGCCCTATGTCTAAAATATGATCATATTCTGAGATACTGGGGGTTAGGATTTCAACTCATGAATTTTTAGGGGACACGATTCAGCCCATAACAATTTGTTTTCAAAATTATTGACTCAGGATAACCCATCTGTAATTAACCCATTGATAGCAGCTCAATAAAATTGGCCTATTTTTTTTCACTGAAAATAATTCTTAACCATGGTGTAGTCTAATTTTATTAAAATATTATATTTCAAATATTTAATATTTATAACAAATATGAAAGATTAGCCCAGTATGTATAATTTTAGAAGATTTTCCTTTTCCTTCAGGGGAATTGACTATTACCACAGAAGGGTATTAGACTTACTTGCTTCATGTTTTGATGTTGTATATCAAATCTCTTTTTCTGGAAAAGAAATAAAGTTAATGAAAATCTGGTTGGAACAATATGCATGCTTTGGAATTGTCACATGACTTGGCTGATATGAAGTAGAAAATACTATGATGAATGAGTTTTTAAAGGCTAGATTGAAATTGGTAAAAAATACAGACATGAGTGTATTTTTGAGGGGGTGATTTTTATGTGTTTACATTTTTCATTTAGGCTGTAGAATGAAAAACAAAAGCTGAGAACTGTAGATCAAAAGCGCCTTTGTGTGATGACTCCACGCTCAAAGAGGGACAGAGCTGCTGTTTCACTTTTAGTACAGCCCAAAGACAAGCTTGGCTTTTCTGGGTTAGATAAAGTGCCTAGGAAGGGGAGGAGACACTTTAGACGTCACTAATGATAGGAACATTCTAACGAGAGCCACATTTACTAAGGGAACATTTTCATTAGACAGCTCCTGACTTGAAAGCAGCAATCACTTAATAACTCTTTCTGCTTTTCCCTAGCCACCCCCTGCCCCTCTCCCCTCTCCATTGCACATTTTGAAGTTGTTCTACTATCCCCATTTTATACCCTTTAAAAATTCATGACCATTTTATTTATTTATTTTTTGACCGTTTTAAATTGTGTTTTTGTGAAGACATATTTGATCTAGTGCAGGTGTTCTGATTGCTAAATTCAGAAAATAGAACCTCAATAGCAAATGCTCTGGGTCATTTTTCTCTAACAGAGCTCTTGCTGTTCCTCTTTCCTTTGGGGTAACAGGCAGTGTCCTGTGATGTCTCACACTGGAGAACGGGGGTTTGAGTCAGTGCAGCAGTGTCTCCCTTCATCAACACAGGAAAAGAGAAACCTTGTATGACCTGAGTCCGAAGAGGTTAACTGGAGTCCTCAAATACCGGGGTGGCTCTTTCAATCTCTAGGTTAGGACGTTGTCCTACTGCGTACAGTTAGAATGAACATCATGATCAAATGACGTCCCTAGTCTGGGGCCTCCTGACTCCCTGGTTTTCTCTTTGTGTTGCCTACAAGGACATGCAGAAGAGGCTTTGTGTATGACAGGAAGGGCCATTCCTGTCATCTCCATTTCAAAACTCAACAGAAAGGAGTATTTTTCCTTACTTCTGGGGTTTTTCTTCTTTTTCCTTGTTCTTTTTGTGGTTTTGGCTTTCTAGCTGGGTTTTTCAACAGATCCAAGAGGTTCAGATGAGATGTTCTTTCCTGTCAAACAGGATCCCAAAACCTTTTGAGGTTTCTCAAGGATTTGTCTCTATAAGCTGAAAAGTCTGTTCTCTTTCTTTACTGTTGCCAGAAAAGTAATTAGGCCATTTTTCTAATTATAGTAATCTTCCCCAAATGGCATATAACTTCACATCCAAATGCCATGTAAATTGGCCAATAACGTTCTGCCGTGAAGCACTTTACTAAGACAGCTTGAATGTGGGAGTTTTACTTCATGTTAAAGCAAAATGTGTTCTCTGTCCCAGTTACAGCTGGGTTTTCTTTCTCAGCGTCCTGCCCAAGAGGCGTTGAACACAGAACACAGACGGATCACAGTTGATCTGGTCAATGGCATTTGGTGGAGGGTTGTTGTCATTCCTGGACAAATTAAACTCCTCTTGGAAAAAAACCCTCTGTAAAACAGTGCAAGATTAAGTTGTCCACAAGGACTACAAATCTCCACAGATAAGAGTGAGATTCCCTGTGTCACACAACACAGAACTAGATTTTCGTTCCCCTAAGAATAACCCCATTGCAATTGGTCTTCTCTGTTATGCTAACCAAGGGGAAATTAGGTCCTGCTGGTAAGTTTTGTGGTCCAAAATATGCTCACAGCAGGTAAATTGCTACTTTCGCATGTTCCATCTGTCAAAAAAAGTTTCCAAATAATACGTCCTTTAGACATTTGAGTTTTCTGTGCTGAACTGCCCTCTGGCCTTTCTGGAAGGAGTTTCTGGTCTAGAATAAAGACGTTATGAATACAGAATAGTTTCTCTGGTGTGAGAAACTGAAAGTGTAAATAAGGATGAAATGTATAATAGATAATGTGAAATAGGAAGAAAAGGTCTAAAGGGGAAGGGGAACTGGGAGGGATGGGGAAAGCAAAGAAGGGAAAGGAAAAAATATGAGAAAAGGAAAAAGTGGAAACAAAGTCTTTATAAATAGGGAGGGGAGAAGGGGGTGAAGGGAGGGCAGGGGAATGGGGGAAAAATAAGAACCAAGAGAGATTATGCAAAGGTACAAGATCCCAATGATGAATGTCATCGTATTGTATACCTAAAATGTACCAATAAACTTAATGAATAATAATGAAAAAAAGACATTATGGAGAAGTCTCTAGAACATGGAACTGAAATATTCAAGAGTAAGGGTGAATTTCTCCTAGAAATGATGGATGTTATAGCTATTGAAAAAGGTATAAAACTGGATGGGGTGCAGTAAGAATATGTCCTGGTGACTGTGGTTTGTAGATGATACTTACCTGTGCGATGCTAACCTGGACTGTCTCATTTCTCCAGAATGGTGCCATTATGCCATGGAAACCCAGGTGTTTATGAGCAGAAGAGAGGATGCCCAAAGTGAGTGTCTCCAAGTGTTAGCCCTTTCTGACCATATTTGAATTTACTAATTTTTCTGGGCCTGGTGTGCAAAGGGATGACTTGAGATGTGTGTGAAAGTGCCACCTCCCAAGCTATTTTTGTAGAAATTATGTTTACTGGGTCTGGTGTGAGGTCTCAGAATCTGCATTTGAACAGGCTTCTTAGTGGCTCTGATGCGGTGGTTTATAATCAAGATGATTCTCAGTTGCTCGCAGGATTTTCAAGGACATAACAGGTGAGCAGATTAGCTCAGAGCACAAATTGGACTGAAGTCAAACAAGTAAATAATACTTTGTAGGTCTGCTATAGAGTTCTTTAATTTTGAAGGGGCAAAATAGAAGTGTGGGTATAGTTGGGATGGGAGGGTGAATTAGAAAGTTTTTTCTTTATCCCCCACCCCCTTTCTGAAAGTTACTCAGGGTAGAATAATGGCCTTTAGACTAAATGAAAATTAAATTGTTCAGATCATGAAAATTAGATCTTTCAGATCATCCTATGGATTAGTTTGAAGAAATAATTAGATTTTGAAGTAATAAATAGAGGAAAGTGGAACTATAAGTGTTTTTTCTTAGAGAATGGATTTTTAAAATGTACACTTGAAAGGACGCCAATATTTAGGAAAGCTCTTCAGCTCTATTTTATATGGCTATTAAAAAATATTAGAATGAGTATCTACCTTTTCTGAAAGGAAGACAACATTAAAAACACCCCAAAGTCTACTTAGTATTATCTCTGTGGATTGTCACCACGCTATTCACATTTCTTGGGCTATTGTCTGAATTCTGTTGTATGTTCCTTGTGACATCCTGCTAATCCTTTTTTCAAAATCATGTACCTAAAGTGCCTTTGAGTAGTCTAAACAGGACAAGAACACTCTTTGTCAGTGAGCCATGGAGCCGAAATTCTTGATGGCCTAGAGGCAACAGAAAGGGCAAAATAATCTTGGATTTATTTAAATTAGAAATAAAGTTTTTCATAAAAGCAACTTTCTAGTCAACATTTCTTGAAATCTGTTAGTATGATCACATGAAATAGATTCCTCTGTGATAGAAACTTTCCATAAACTTGTTTCTTTGTTGGCAGTACTTTTATGTCCAGTAGCACCTTCCCGAGAAGCTAATTTTTAAAAAGGGGCATATAACCTCATACTAAGAGCACTACTGAATTCTAGAAAACTACTTCTTCCAGTAATCCCCTAAACCCTTGCTTATCATAGCCTCATTAATCTTAATAGTCCAGTGAGACTGCTTGTTTTTTTATGGTATAATTGTAATTTGTAAAGGGTCAATATGAATATAAATACGAATATAAAAAGATTTTAGCCTTTGATTTTTGGAAAGTTTGATTCAGCTCTCTTGTCTTCACCCCAAATAACCTCCAAGAACACTCAAGCAGGAAAGGAGGCAGAATAATGGCAAAGCTGAGACATCAGGACAAAATTCCTGGGGCCTGTCCACGTTATCTTATCAGGAAAAAGTGTTTTTCAGAAGCAGTTCAACTAAGAAGTTTGAGATGGGGAGATCATCCTGGATTATCCAGTTGTTCCCTAATTCCTATCCCAGATATCTTCATAGGAGAGAGTGGGAGGTGATCTGATTCACACAGAAGAGGAGGGGGCATTGTGAGCACAGAGGTGTGACAAGTCAAGGAATGTGGCAGCCATCAGAAACCAGGAGCAACCAAGCAATTAATTCTCCCAAGAGACTCTGTAGGGAATGAGGTCCCATGTGTGCACAACTTGACTTTTTAAAAAAATTTTTATTTATTTTATTTTATTTTTTTCACAACTTTGATGCAGTGAAACTGATTTTGGGCACATGGTCTCCTGAGTTGTGAGAGAGTATAATTCTGTTGCCTTAAGGTTTCAAGTTTGTGGTGATTTGTCATGGTGGCCCTGGGAAAGTAACTCAGGCAGTGAACTGTCCCCAGACCCTTTCTTTTGACCTGTACTCTGGCTTGCAGCACAATGGTCATCTGAGAAGCTCCTTAAAAAAAACAAACAAACTGGATTTCTGTGTCTCCTCCCAGATCTAGGCAATTGGAAATTTTAGGAATGGAAACCAAGGATCTGTATTTCTAACAAACTGCCCAGGAAGTTGTGGTGTGTACTGGGTTTGATAGCCCTGTCATTACGGCGCTCTATTAGTTTCCAATTTCTGTTGTAAGAAAATACGACAAATGTAGTGGTTTAAAAGCAACGCAGATTTATTCTCTTACAGTTCTGGAGGTCAGCAGTTCAAAATTAGTCTCACTGGACTAAGACCAAGGTGCTAGCAGGGCGGGTTCCTCTTGGAGGCTGAGGGGAGAATCTGGTCCCTGCCTTTTTCAGCATTCCCTGGCTGTCTGTATTCTGTAATTAGTGGCCCCCTTTCCCATCTTGAAGGTGTCACAATAATCTCTGCTCCTGACTTCACAACACCTTCTGACTCTCACTGTCCCTTTTGCAAGGATCACTCTGACTACATCAGACCTTCCCAGATAACCAAGGAAAAGCTCCTGTTTTGAAGATCCTTATCTTGATCCCATCTGGAAAGTTCTATTTTGCCATACAAAATGACACTCATGCTGCCTGGCATTAGCTGTGGATCTTTTGGGGTGGTAATTATTCAGACTGTGTGATAATATCTCATGTAGAAACCACAGAGGCAAATGAAGTTCATTCACAGCATATCATGCTTAATTCATGATTTATTCACCAGCTTGTGTGTATGTGTGTGGATGCATATTTTTATAATTAAAGCCATTAGGAGTAAAAACATTTGCACATGGCTATTATTATCTTTGACACTTCGTTAGAGAACAAAACATACAAAGCTGTTGATTTAACAAAATTATTACATTATCACAACATTACAGATTTATTTAAGTGCCGAGCCCAGGAAATGGTCAGATGGGGAGATTTTTGCCTCCTCAACATCACTATCATCCCCTTCCCAACCATCCTTTACCAAACACACTTTCTTAGTTACTTTCCTGTTGCTCAGACACAATACCCAGCTCCTGCAAATTAAAGGAGGAAAGGTTTATTTCGGCTCACAGTTTGTAGAGGTTTTAGTCCCTAGTCAGCTGGCTTCAAAACAGGGCAGCATGGCAGAGGGGTGTGGAAGAGGACTCCATGGCATGGTAGTGAGAAGCAAAGAGAGATGAAGGAAGGAGGGAGGGAGATACACCCTTCCAGGCCACCTTCTCAGACCAGGTTTCACCTTCCAAATCATATTAAGCCACAAACTCAGTAGACTAATTCACTGATATCCCCTGATCAAGTCACCTCCCAAAGTCCCACCTATGAGTGCATGAGGCTTTGAGGGGGTATCCAGATATAAGCCATAGCACCCACATTCTAAGTAGAAACACAAGTCTTGCTCTGCAAATGTAGGCTAAAGACATCCCAAATAAACATTTGCATAAATGAAAACTGGCCATTGCTTTGTACATGTCATTGCAAGACCAGTCCTCAAGAGCCCCTTTCCAACTAGTTGCCCTTCTAAACTCTCCTTGTTATCATTTATATCTAGATACCCCACTCCTGGATTCAAGCCTCATGAGCTCATAGGTGGGGCTTTTGGGAGTGACTGGATCATGGATGTGTGATACTAGGTTAGCCTACTGATTGATTTAGTATAGTTCTGGGTTTGGGTTATGGACTTAGTGAAGAGGGAAGACTCACTCTGAGTGTGGGTGACACCAACCAATAGGCTTATAGCCTGGATAGAATAAAAAGGGAAAGAAGGAAGTTTGCTGCTGTTTCTTGCCTGCCATGCCATGAACTCTTTCTTCTCTGCCACGGTGCCCTGCCTTGGAGCCATCTGACTATGGACCGAATCCTCTACAAACTGTGAGCTAAAATAAACCTTTCCTCCTTTATCTTGTCAGTATTGGGTATTTTGTCCCAGCAACAAGAAAGTAACTAAGAAACCTCTCTAAAGAACTTCGAAAATTTACCTTCTTTGCCTTATATTTACTGAAAATAGAGAATTCCAGGTTGAAGCAAGTGGTCATAGATGTCATAGATGCTATAGAGTGCGAGTACACATTTCTTCTTGAA